AAGTCACTATTGTGACTATGGGATCTAGTATTTGAAATTGAGCCTGTGGTCAGTTTTGCTTTTGGAGCTTAGAAGAAAGCAATGGCTTTGACTGAGGCCTGAGGAATACTGCGGTGGGGAGCTGGCACTGGAACCAGAAGCTGTGAGCCATGGATGGCAAAGTGTTGGGCAAGCCCCAGTTACTGTGCTAACCATTACCATCTCCCCTTAAACACAGCAGCAGTAGATGATCTTGATCGAAGAAGTCAAATGTTTGAAGTCTTTGTGGCATTCCTGTGGCACTGTGTTGCTATTTGGTGGGAGTATCTGTCAGCCTTCAGGCACCTTGTGGGAGGGCAGCTGTGAGTGGCTGCTCTGGGCAAGGCTAAGACTGGCAAGGAGAAACAAGGGTCCTTTTGGATTAGACCACATCCCTCCGCTTCAGGATAATCCCACCAGTCTTCATCTGAAGCTTCAACAAACAGAAGGACTCATGTCATGGATAGTGTTTCTAACCCTAGCACTTCCTGATTCTTGACCCAAAGTTGGCATTGTCATGATGCTTGCCTCTCTGGGAATCCCAAGAACACCTGCTCCACAGTGACTCTGTAGTGTCTTAAAGCTGTGTCCGAGGAGTTTGTGGGATTATAAAGTGTGTTTTCTACTTCACAAGCTTACTCATGGTTTGAACCCTACTCTGGAAATAATAGTCATCCAAGGGATAGTGGGGTATGATGAGTTGGAGAAACTCCTCTTTGCAGAAGCATTAAACTGAGGATCAAGGTTCCTTTCTGTAGTTTTAAAGTACAGTGTAATTGAATTATTGCGGAAAAATCATTGGACATGTGAAGTAAAAAAGTAGGAAATGAAATTTCATGTACAAGATTACTTTATGTTAAAATAAGTACTCATACTCAGAATTCTAAACAGTGGCTATTTTTTGCTGTCAGAGCCACAGTTGATACTGAAAAAATATTAGGAATATTTATTAACTCACAAGAGCTCTTCATTTCACTGATTCACTCTCAAGTACACACAAAGGGGGGACTGAACCCACGATCAAAGCGAGGTCTGCCATGTGGATGAAAACAACTCAACTGTTTGAGCTATCATCGCTATGTCCCAGGGTCTGCATTAGCAAGAAGCCAGAGGCATGATCTAGAACCAGGCATCCAACTCAGAAATTCTGACATCAGCTGTAGATGTCCCAACCAGTAGCACCCCCACCAGTTCAAATGCTCACCTTAACAGTTAGAAATTCCTGAAGGAAGGAATTATGGGAGGAGGGGGTTAGAAGCCTACCCAGTTTCTCTTGTTTTCTTAATAATCTGAAATTGTATAGTTTTCCCTTAATTTTGCTTGACAGATGTTTTGTAAATAACTGCTGCTCTCAAAAGAAAAAAAGAACATTTAGTTAGAATAAGTATATCCATGGCAGAAATAAATGTACCCAACACGGTAAGGAGCAAAATCTTGGAACCCTGTTTGTGGAGGCCGGATACCTCCCTTAATTCTTACAGCAAAATTATTAAAAGATGTGACATTACAGAGACATGTCTTAATTCAGGATATTCTGTAACTGGTTAAAGCAAATATTCTAAATCCAAAAGAATATATGTCATTTTAAGGAATGGAGTATGAATAGTAATGTAAATATACAAAAGCAAGAGGAAAAGAAAGGCCACATATAATCCCATTGCCTAGAAGCTAAAACACCTCTCACTCTTCATATTTGGCTTTACATATTTGTGATCTTATTTTGGTCCTGCACCTGTACATTTGTATACATATGTTGAAATGAAACAAAACAAAAATCATATCTCATGATTTTATTTCAGGACTGTTAACAAAATGTACCCAGTGATAAGATGGCAGTTTTGTCTGCATCCCCTGAATTAGGCACATGAAAACAGGGCTGGATTTAGGATGCTGTGGTTAAGTAGTCCCTCCCACCCCCTCTCCCAGCTCCAGCCAGGGCATCCAGCCATCCAGGCCAGTGTAACTGGACATCTGGTCAGCTTGGAAGGCAGCTCGTTTCACCAGGTTTGCTGGCAAAATACTATCTGAGGATACAGTGTTCATTTTCATTCCCTAAGGATTCTCCAGGCGTTTTCGTTCTCAATTAGGCAGATTTTTGTAACGTTGACATTCTAAATTTCCAGATACTGTCCAGCGCACGTGTTCTCTGCTGCTGCAAGCTCTGGCATAGGGACCTCAAGGTTCCAGGGAAAAGGGCCAATGTCTCAAAATTATTTTAACTTGTAATATGAATGTCTTCCCAAATGCAGCACATAATTTTCAGGGAACTTCAGAGTCGTGAAATTTTGTTGGCCCCATCTAGATTGCTGTCACACAGAAAAATCATCCTGATTTCCAACCCTTCTCTTCCACAAGTCAGGGCCTCTTGAAAAATATCTTTCCTGACAGCCCAGTTCACACATGATTTCCACTGCCCAAGATCTCCCCAGACATCCCCCATTGCTTTCTGCTAAGCTAGGAGCGAGCCGAGGCTTCCCCAGGGCAACTCCAGGCCATCGATTTCCCTGTTGCTTCGCTGAGGATTTGATTTATCGCATAATGGGCCATATCTACAAGCATCCATGTTTTGATTCTTACAAAGCAAAACAAAAACAGAAAAGCATTAGGAAGGAATGAAAAATGTGACACACAAAATTCTGCCACCAAGAAATAACCGCTGTTGACAATGTTGTGGTCTTTGTGTGTGTGTGTGTGTATCTGATTATTTTGGCATAGTTGATTATCCTGTACCTAAAACTTGATCTCTTATTTTTATTTACTTAAAATGTTAGAAACATTTTCTGAGACACGAAAATTATTCATAAACTTTCTAAATCCCTAGATTAAATGCTTAGTAGTGTTTTTAATGTTAGGAAAACAAAACATGGTTTTCGCGAACCATGATCAGTTAGCATATAGAAGCTTGTTAGGTAGGGTGTATAGTGAACTCTGTTGCTGTTACTTTAATGATTTTGCTGCACAGGAGAAGTGTGTTGTCCCAGGTTCAGAGAGAAGCTCACCACTGCAGCACTAGACAGCATTGGGTGTGGATTTCCCTGTGTCTGCTCATAGCTGGGAGAGGACTCCCTAGGGGTGTAATTTCAGCCTTTTAGGTAATGTCTTGGCCTTCCTAATGTGAGGTCTATCTGTTATAAGTGCAAAAGCTCAGTGGCCTCGATTGAATCTGAACTTTCTTGAATAATAGGAAGAACTGAAAACTTGAACAGCCCTTCTCTTATGTGTGATGCATTTGGTGTTCAGGTTAATGTCTGGTCCTTTTGTGGCATACAGTAGGATGATGCTAAACTACACTGTTACTGATGCCACTTGTGATGTTCCAAAGGCAACATTTGCATGCCAGGGAGAGATTCTGGTTTTTTGTTTTTAAATCAGAGAAATGTGTGAAAAGATAATTTGAAAGTAATCACATGGAGAAAGGACTGTGAGATGCAAAATGGAGAGGTTAGATGGGGAGAGGTCAGCGAGGGAGGCACGGGGTTTACGGAGGTCGGGGATTGGGGTTGGAACAGTTGGGGTCACAAGAAAAGATGATCGAGGAAAGACTAGCAAAGGGACAAAGGTGAAGGACTCATTACGCTATCACTACCAACTGTCTCTTCTTTCCTCCTCTCCTGAGTGGTGCCATTTACAGAGCCTTCAGAGCATTTCATTGAAACTGTCAACATACCAGAGGTTATACCTTTATTTCTTGTCTTTATCAAATATTGACAAGGAAAAGTGACTTAGGATTTATCACATTCCAAACATATGTGATTTTTATGGAGTCAGATGAAGTTGCCATATGAAATGATAAAGTATATCGTAACCCAGGAGGACATTACTCTCCAAACACTTTGGAAATGAAAAGCAAATGTTTGCATTGGACCCCGCTGGTCCTATCCGGTCAGTTTGAACATCCTTCCTCAGGCTCAAGTTCATCATTCCCTTAGATATATTCACAGCAGTTACTTACGTGGCTTTCTTGACCTGGCCTTTTTATTGTGGTTATTATTCTTAACCTGGCCATTATTCTTTGTTGACTTAAAATTGCTTTTTATTATAGTTCTTTCATCATTTGGTCTAGTTTCTCCAAATGAAATCCTTATTTCCTAGTTGCTCGTGCCTGCTTGAAAAGAGATAAAATATCCTTACATAGAGAACTAAGCCAATGCTAAACTTGCTTTTTCAAAAAAGCAACACTATTTAATTTTTGGTCCAAATCTTTGAGATAACCCAGAGTATAAAACTTTCCCTTGATCTAACTGTTTGAATTAATGCTGTTTTAGGGTGATGAATTCATTGGAATTTCTGAGATGTAATAAGTGAAGAATTTCATCATTTTTAAACATCCAGCTTTTGACTTTGGTGCTTATGTCAAAATATAGGAAACTCAAATTTCTAGAAAACATGTAAAGGCTCTCTGTAAATATTATCTTTATCAGTAGTTTGTTTCCCGACACTGTGAAACATGTGTCTGTTGGGCAATTTCATTTATTAGTCCTTGGTAAATATATGAGTGTTGAGTATCATATCTGAGTGTTGAAATCATAGTTTTCTTTAAGGTCATGAGTAATCATTTGGAGTATTATTCTTCTAAATGTTTTTGAAGCCATGATAGCCAGTGTTTTGTCATTTACACTTTGTTCATATTTTTGTGGGTTGCAAAGTTAATTGAGTTCTGGGTTACTTTAGTTCTTCATCCCTTTCATTAGGAACATAGAAGCCAACAAAGGCTCCAGAACAGAGATGCTTTAAGCAGCCACGGGTTTTTTAAAAATAAGTTTTATGTATTTAAAAAGAAAAAAAAAACCACCAGAAGTGTAATCTGAGTGTTCTAGAAGGTTTGGCCCAAACTCATAAATAAGAGTTGAGTTCCCATAGTACATATTTGCTGAGCCCTTCCCTTCCCCAGCAGGTGGCCCTGTAGGTTTATGGCAGGGACCCTTGTTGTCTCTCTGCGTCCTCAGTTTGTGACCCTGCTTTTGTCTCTCACTCATCCGCAGAGCCCGGCGTCTGCACGGTATTCGGAGATCCCCACTACAACACTTTTGACGGACGGACATTTAACTTTCAGGGGACATGTCAGTATGTTTTGACGAAAGACTGCTCCTCCCCTGCCTCACCCTTCCAGGTGCTGGTGAAGAACGATGCCCGGCGGACCCGCTCCTTCTCATGGACCAAGTCAGTGGAGCTGGTGCTGGGTGACAGCACCCTGAGCCTGCAGCAGCACCTCACCGTGCGCTGGAACGGCTCGCGCGTTGCACTGCCTTGCCGTGCGCCACACTTCCACGTGGATCTGGATGGCTACCTCCTGAAAGTGACCACCCAAGCAGGTGGGGCTTGCGTGGCCTCCTACTGACTTCCATGCTCAGCAAGTGCTAGGAAATGAGTTCCTCAACAAAGTGTCCCAGCTGCAGGCTTTATCGACTTTCCACTCCCAGGGGGAAAGATATCACAAAGATGTCACAATATAGCTGGGGATCTGATGTGCCACCTAGAGTTTTGCACTTGGGTATCAGTCACACTGGCAATCTTCCCACACTGGGACCTTTTCAGTCTTCTAAGTATAGCAGTGGAGTTACACTTCAGAGCTCTAGAGTCTCTTTCAAGTTTGGCTGCTATTTTAGGTTGTTGGTGTCTAATAGGTTGGAATTGGTGGGGTCTTTTCCAAGTTAGCTGCTTTAGGTGTGCTTTCAAATTCAAGAGAAAGAATAGTCCTTTGTTAGTGTTTGAGAGGGCAAATGCATCCATAAAAGGAAATAGCTTAGTGTCAGGTTTACTCAACTAGAGGATTTTTTTTTTTTTTATTGGAAAGTCAGATATATTGAGAGGAGGAGAGACAGAGAGGAAGATCTTCCATCTGTTGATTCACTACCCAAGCAGCCACAATGGCCAGAGCTGAGCTGATTTGAAGCCAGGAACCTGGAGCATCTTCTGGGTCTTCCACACAGGTGCAGCATCCCAAGGCTTTGGGCTGTTCTGGAGTGCTTTCCCAGGCCACAAGCAGGGAGCTGAATGGGAAGTGGGGCCACCAGGATTAGAAAGAATGCCCATATGGGATCCTGGCACATGCAAGGTGAGGACTTTAGCCACTAGGCTACAGTGTCGGGTCCAGGATTGTTTTTGAATACCAACCTAGAGGATGTGAATTCAGCTCATTTGCACATTATATCTCATGTTCTTTTTCATGCACCTCTGGTTAATACATATTGTATGCCACTCGGACATCTCCCAATTATATTTATTTTTTCAAATATGTTACTTTTTGGAAATCAGTATATTTTTTGCTTTTCCACTGGGAATTGAACAGTATAAAAGCATTAATTGAATTGTACCGTATTTAGATAATATGCATCCCAAAGGAAACATCTGAGGTAACAAGCACTTTTGAGGGTCTACAGAGTAAGATTTTTTTTTCCTGTATCTTTAGAACCCTGGAAATTGTTTCAGTGCAAGCAAAAATCTATATTGACAAGTTGATTTGGGTGATAGCTTAGCTAAACAAAAGCAAGAAGCCAAGGAGAGGCCCAGAGAGCTTTAACTTAGAGAGCATAACATGGATTCCATGAAATAATGTGAAGTGTTAACATATTGGAACATTCCAGAAAGAGGGAAGCATTCTCATTCTGAACAGACATGAAGAGCTCTGCTCACTCAACTAGAGATTGATTCACTCAGAAAATTCAGATACCTGTACCAAAAGACATGCCACTCTGCAGATGCAGGCCCCAGCTCATTCCTGAAAAGGAGGCCACATTTTTTTTTGGCTTCCCATAAAATATGCACAAAATGACCCTTTATCACACAGCACTAGTTAGAAGCACCTTGCCAGTCTGCCAGCCATCTCAACACAGTAGTGTTTGCTGATGTGTAAAGTGTTAGCAACAATCCACTTCTCAAAGGAATCCTGGGTACTAACAGCCTCGTAGGTCCATTTACAATGGCAAAATCATATGGAGTAAGTGTACTCTTTATAAGGATTCTACATCATAAAACTGAGCAGAAAGAACGAGGCTGCTAAGGAAATAATAATAGATCCCAAACGCCATAATAAGATGAGTGAATTTGATTCTGCTAGGCCTTGAGCTTCGATTTTGCAGGTTCTTTCATTTCTCTGTCTCTTTTCACTGTGCAAGTCATTTTTATGGCTCCCTTCAACGCAGCTGAGCAATTTTCTGCAGCACTGGAATCACACCAGCCACTACTTCTGAGAGACGAGCCATTTTCCTCTGGGCACTAAACTTACTTTGTGCTTATCCTTTGAATGAAACAAGTCCATTTTCAGACAGAAGTGTTCTCCACCCTGGTCCAGCCATCTCAATTTGAAGTATCCCTTAGGGATGTTTTCTTTTTATCACCTATTGATTGTCTATTTAAGATTTCACAGTATTTCCTTAGAGTGTGCTTCTTCTGTAAGAGTTATTTATTTATTTTATTTTCAAGGCTTGTTTGATCAAAGGGTCCTTTCTTCCAAATAGTAGCTTAAATCAAACCTGCAGCTGGGAGCTGGGGAGGCATGGCTCTTTGCCTCTGTGGTTTATGGATTCAGTACTTTGTGAGGAAATCATATGGCTGAGTAGCACAGGTAGCTGTGCTGTGTGGGTAGAATCAGGCTATTGCTGCTAACCTAGTAACAATAGCCCTAGAACAAGGCTCTCTCATGCACGCGCACACACACACACACACACACACACACACACACACACACACACAGATTCTTGGCACTTAGCAGATGCCATTTGTTTCCTTCGTCAGTTCTACCTGAGAGAGTGACATCAGACCCAGCTGAGAGTACTCGCATATGGAGAGCATGGCTTTGGACTTTGGTACAGACCCTGCACTTGGTGAACCCAGAGAATCAATCCTATGTTGCTTCTGTTTTGTGTATAAAATCTGAACAGAAAAGACATCCACCTTTACACCTCCCTGTGATCTGTCTACAGATTTTCCATCTGTCTCCCCTTTAAAGGACAGCAACTTTAACAGCCATAAAAACCAGAAAGGAAAGTGAAGGGATGCAAACAGCATCCACAAAACAGAGGAACAGCTACACAAGCAAGGACCACAGCCTCGTGACTGATCCGGAGCCAGGTCAACACGTTAGAAGAGTGAGGCATAAATTGGTAAACCATTCGCTAGTGAGAAGGGAAAATTGGAAGGCTCTTCGCAAAGTGGAAAGAATGCGAGTGCTGCTCGCATCCCAGATGGGACATGTGCTTCAGCTTTAGTCTCCCGACTCTGCCAGTTATTTCTACCCCACTTCCATGTAGAAAGTTGGGAAACTCATCCCAGCTGCAGAACGGACTCTCCCTGGGCCCTCAAACACTGCCACGATGTTTTCATCTCATACAACGTCTGTAAGAAATACAGGAAGAACAATTCCCACAAGTACAGATGATTAGTTTCTTTGCTTTTTCACTACTGGGAATCCATTTGACTCATGCACAGGGTGAAAACATCCAAGCAGGCATACACATCAATGACACGGTAATAGACACAGGCATCTGTGGCTGAGTACGTTGTCCTTTTACGTTAGGCATCCTTGTGCAGGTGTGTAGTATAGTGTAATAATCAGAAAGACAAAGAGGAAGAAGGTAGAGTGAATTGCAGATCGTTCTCTTGCTTCGGGGACTGTGTTTTATGAATGAGATGTCATGAGTTCTGAGAGAAGTTCCCTGAACATACAGCAGACCCACATCTTCTCAGGTATATGGAAACCATCCCCTTTCCTCACTGCCCCCTGTCCACTGCCAAGAAAGAACATGGTGGATAGGTTCCCTGTGACCCTAATTCCCACAGACTCAGTTGCCCAGAGTCTTGCATTTGTTATATCATTGTCGGTCGTGACAGTTGGAGCTCTTTGGGGTGTGAAGCCTCAGCCACTTCTGGCACTTGGAAGAAAGTATTTGCTGTCTAGGAAAGAAATTTGTAGTTTGGAAATTTTTGCAGCATGGAAGAATCTTTGGAATTCTGATCTAAGAGTTGGACTTTATATGGACTTGATTTTCTTCCCTCGTTTCGTTTCCCTTGCTGGGAAGCTGTCTGGTTACAGACTTGGGAGGTTGAGTCTTCCATACCTCTGAGTATGCATTACAAATCATGCTATCGTTTGCTTGTCTTCTTGCTAAATGGTTATTTTAGTGTCTCAACTAGCATGAAATTTGCAATTTCTTTGGCTTTATAGATTCCACGTATTAACGTTCCAAGGCTAATTCATCCACTTATGGAGGATCTAGTGCATGCCAGATAATGTGCTTTTTGTTACATACAAAGGAGGAGATGATAGTTGTGATTGTTGCATGTTGTTAGAGACCCACATAGGATGCTCGTTCGAGGTGGGACTGTTTTAGAGGTGTGTTCCATCTCTCATTACCTAGTCTTATCACTGTCTTCTCTTTATTAAATTATTCCCAAGAGAGATTCTTTCCTATATATATATAGCCTTTTCTTTTCTCTCCCCTTTCAGTGTCTTTTGGTTGCTTTTCTGAACCTAGCCTCTTTTCCCAACAAAGGAATCATCTCTCATTTGCCTTGAACCAAGAATGCTTCTGATCTTTTGGTTTATCACAAAGTGACTTCCTCGTGGACCTCTCTGTTGATTTCTTGAGAAGCCCAGTCTTAGATTATTGATTTATTATTCCAATAACTCATCCTAAACTTACCCACAAGATGAATATTTGGTCAGCCTCCTCTCCTGCTCCATGTCCAAACCCCAGGGAGTATTGGCTTTAGAATCTCACCTCTCAGTCTTTCCTCCTGACTCTATTGCATCACTCCAAAGTTGTTACCTTATGCTAATTTTATGGCCAGATCAGATCTGTTCTCTCTATCCCTCCCTCATTCTAAATTGTTATTCATTTTTATTATTTGAAATGGAGAGAGAAAGTGAGAGGATAAGAGGGTGAGAGAAATCCATCTCATATTCGCTGGTTCACTCCCTAAATGCCCATACAACCAGAGCTTCGTCAGGACTTAGCCGGCGGCAAAGCCCTTGAGCCATCATCGACTGCCTCCCACTAGCAGGAGCCTGGATGGGAAGCAGAGGGAGGACTTGAACCTAGGCAGTTTGCTATTTGTATGCCTGTCCTTCCCTTCTCTTCCATTTCTGCTGCTCATATCACTACCTCAACTCCCAGGTTTGAAATTTTTTTTTTCATGAGTTTAATATTGTTAGTTCACTAACAAAAGCTTTTAGTTAGAAAGTCATTTTGCTCTTTTTGAAATTCCAGAAAAGAATTTTTAAAAAACCTTTTAATCAGGAATTTAAGTGGAAAAAATTAAAAACCACACACACACACACACACACACACACACACCAGTAACAGAGACCTTTCCATCCAATAAAGACTTCCTCTGTGTGCAGCACTCCTAGGAGGCAGAGTGACTGGAGAAAACTAGGAACAGCAAAGCATGTTGGTCTGTTGTAGATGGGCCCTTGGCAATCACATCACAGTGGTTTGCTTGTATATGCTGGCAAACAATTCGCTCAATCCCTGGAGTGCTCAGACTCCGCTAAGCTTTTGCCAGGAAAACAGTAAAAAAATAATTTCTAAACAAACTTGAGACATAAAGAACAAACTAGCTAAAAATGTTTATCATTTACATTGGGTGGAACCTCAGAATGGTTTTTGTGAAGAGCCATCTCTCTCTTCTCTCTGGACAGTATCTGAACACACAGTATTAAACTGGATATAATAGCATCTCTCCTAGACATTTTAGGTAGGCTTATTTTTTGTTGTATGACCATGTAACCTTGCTGCCTTATTTGTGAACTAGAGATTCCACTGTTCAGGAAGGCCGTTGGTTAGAATTGATCCTGCACATCTTGGGCCATGATGTCTGGAGAAATGTGTATCTTTTCAGATGAGCCTTCTGCTACTTAAGATAGTTCAGCAAACAGAGATTAGTCCATGTTTCCTACCATCTTGAATGAATAAAAACTTCAACCCATAACCTGATAGCCCCCAATGCCTTCTCAAATGTTGGAACTTAGGAGCGACCAGGGATGGAGGGTAGAAAGGTTTCACAATAGTTCAGCTCATAAACACTTATCAAAGAGTGGCCCATGCCTCAGGAAAGACTGTAAAGTAATGGAGAAAATGTTTCACTTTATGTGAGTATTTCCTCTAGAAGAAGATGCATTCAGAAGCTATGTATTAATGGCTCTAATATGCTCATTGCAACAAATCATTTAGGAAGATCACTTTGACATTGGGATAAAAATTATGAAGGGGAACTTTTAGCTATAAATGATTGAATTTAAAAAAATGTTTTATTAATATGAAGGGAAAATTTTCATGTGACTCATATACTTAGTTTGAAAAACTTTATATTTCCCACTCTACTCTCACTCCCTCAGAAGCTCCACCATCCTTCCGCCCTTTCTTACTTTTCTTTTAAATTTTGCAATGATATAAATTCAGTTTACTTTATAATGACAAGCTTAATCCTTCACTAAATAAAGAATTCAACAGGGAGGAAAAAATCTGTTCCTCAAGAGTGTAATCAAAGCTCATAGACATTACATTACACAGACATTACAGTTTTTGTAATCCAATGTTAGTTATCAAAAAATAGAGAAAACATCTGTATCCCCATATTTATAACCCCTCAGGTCACAATAGCTAAGGTATGGAACCAACCCAGATATTCATCAACTAATGATCACATAAAAATTGTGGTATATGTGCATGGTAGAGTACTTCTCAACTATAAAAAGATTTAATCCTCTCTTTCACAACAAAATAGATGCAATTGGAGACCATTACGCTTAGTGGAATAAGTCAGCCCCACCCCCTCAAATTATCATCTTTGTTTCTTCTTATTTCTACATCATAGTCATTATGGAATAAATAGACACAGTTTAGACTAACACACTTTAGGAAAGAGCAAAAAAAAAAAAAACAAAAAGAATCCTAAAGTAATAAAATCAAGCAATGATCATCAATAGTAAAACGCAAGGGTGTACTTCCTAAAGCTTAAAATTAGTCATTCATAAAATTTTATGAGATAGTCAACATAGTGATATTGAAATGGAACCAAGAATTTGCACAGAGTCTTGGTTTTTTTCCCTGCCAAGACTGTCAGACATACAGTGTGATGATGTGTTCCTGTGGGGATTACTCATGATTTCAGGAACAGTTGATCATCCTTTACCTTTTTTTTTTCTCCTGTAGGTTTGGAAATATCATGGGATGGAGACAGTTTTGTAGAAGTCATGGCTGCCCCCCATCTCAAGAGCAAGCTATGTGGTCTTTGTGGCAACTACAATGGACATAAACGTGATGACTTAATTGGTGGAGACGGAAATTTCAAGTTTGATGTGGATGATTTTGCCGAGTCCTGGCGGGTGGAATCCAATGAATTCTGCAACAGACCCCAGAGGAAACCAGTTCCTGAACTGTGCCAGGGGACGGTGAAGGTAAAACTCCGAGCCCATCGAGAATGCCAGAAGCTCAAATCCTGGGAGTTTCAGAGCTGCCACTCAACAGTAGACTATGTCACTTTCTACCGGTAAGTTGGGTATCTCTAGGGGATGGTTTTAGCTTACAAACCAAGGACACACTTGACCTTTGAAAAGGGGAGGATCAGATCTCCCGGTGGGAAAACAAGACCCCGAAGCATGGGGTGAACATCTTGATTTCTTCATGTTTGTCAGCTGATCTTGTGTTGTGTCTTCAGGGTGGGAACTCCAGGAGGTAGCTCAGAGTGATTGCCTCTAGGTGATTCCTGTTTTGGTCTGCAGCTGTCTAGGAAGCTGGTGACGCTGTGGGTTGTTTTCCATGTTTCAACTTGCCCTTGAAACTGAAGAGGTTTCCAACTGCTGGTCAAAAATCACAAGGGTATGATGAAAGTGGTTTCCTAGGATGGAATCTCAGATCATTCTGAGTAGATTCAGTTATTTCAAAGTCAGGGACAGAATTCAGGTCGGCTTCATGGTTTAGCTCATGTAAGATTTGCCCGTGAAAAATAAGGAAGTAAAACAAAGCATCCTAAAATCGAGGCCAACTTTGAAAGTCTGTATTCAGGGTCAAAGCATAGCAGGAAAAGGGATTGAAGAGGGAAGCGGAATAGGAATCTGGTGAATCCCCTTTCACCCAAAGCAGCGTTAGAAAGGTGTCTTGGAATTACTCACTGTATGCTGAAGGGTTGTGTTTGTGAGATGGTGCATTTGGTCTGGTTCTACTTCCATTCACCACACAGTGGCACGGGTTGAGGAGCTATGGCTGCCTGTAACTTTAAACACTGTGAATGTCGGAGGAAGCATGAGAGGAGCACAGCCCGAGAGGCCTTGTTTAAGTGATTTGCCTTTTAAAGTTAGGAAACTCCTGTGGTCTGAAGCCACAGAGGTTATTTTTACTCTTTAATTGCCACCAGTTTATTTCCTCTAGTTCTCATTAAATGTGATCTTTATTTTTTATTTGATCTTTGTACATAAAAGATAAAGTTCTATGAAGGCAGCTCAAAGTGAAGTGGAAAAAAGACTGTCCCTGTCATCACAAATCCCTGAACGTGGCCGTGTGTGCCAAGCTGTTTGTTTGGCTCCAGCTCATCCATTTAGCTCTGTTAAGCCATGTTCCTATTATAGTTTGGGTTCTCAGGGTTCCCGTCTTCATCCTCCCCATTTTCACTGCTGAAATGGAGGGACTTGGGAGTGAGCTAAGCACCTGGGCAGACGAGGCTTCCCTTGCTTCAAGGTCTAAGAGGAGGGAGAAAGGCATCAGAGTGAAGAGCTCTTCAGGCTCCCAGGGCTCAAAACCCAGGAGCTCTAAGTCCTAGGAGTTGTAGAGCTTGAAAGTATGACCCTAGCTCTGGAAATCTGTTTGCTTATCGGAGAAATGGGCAAGTAAAGGATCCACCTTCGATGAACTGCTGTTGAGATTCATAGAGATTATACACATAAATGTGCAAGTTTAACTTGCTGCCCACTCATTATAAGGGCTCTGTAACTGTTGCCTGCCATTGTTTCTTCTACTGCTACTTAAGTGATAAGCAAGAGAATGGCCTCTTTGGGAAGCTCCCCTGCCTGCCCTGAGTCTGGATCCCGATTGGAGCTGATAATAGAATGGAAAGGCTGTGCTTCTCTTGGAGTCCTGACACCGTAAACTTCGTTTTTTACCCATTTTAAAGGAATATACTGAAAACAAAATTGGGAGAACAGGCCAGCAGAGATTAGTTCCTTTGTCCAAAATCTCCTCTTTCTTTTCCTTTGGCAATATTACTGGAGTTTCAGTCTCTGGACTTAGGCAGGAATAAGATGAATGTGTTGGCAGCCATCGTGAGAAACAATGTTGATACACTCAAAAGGAAGCAGGGATCCTTGGGTGGTCATGCAGATGCTCCCTTCCTGCCCTGGAAAGGTGCCTCTGCAGTTCCAGCAGCACCCTGCCGGGGGAGGGGGTTTCTTGAGTTAATCAGGGGCTTCCTTCTCAGCATGGACAGCTCACAAGCATATTCCAGATATCCCTGTGTAGAACGGGCGGTTTAGAGGAAGTGTTGTGAGCTAGTGCTTTGTCCGGCCGTGCCATGGAATAGTGACACTAACCAGAATAGGGCAAAGGAGCTCAGGGCACTTCTGCCTGCCACGGTCCCTGCTGCTGCTGTTCATCTCTCCAGCAGGAGATGCACCTATTGAAGGAAGCATTGCTGTTGGCCAAAGTTGGCTAGAGCGTAAGATTTACTCCTTTCTTCCAAGCGTGTGTATGTAAGAAAGGAAAATGGGGGTAATGAATAAAGCTCACCCTCTGCTAAGGGGAGCTCCAGGGAGGATCAATGCCCCAGTTTTTGTAGGGAGACTTCCTGAGTGAGCTGCAGGTAGGCTGAGTCCAAGCAGGGTCCAACCCCGATCCTGCCATTTTCCAGCTCTGTGACTCAGTAGATGGTCATGCTTCAGATTCCTTATAGAATTGGTGTGACAGTAACTACTCGGCAGTATTGCTGTTCTGAGGACCCAAGTCAGGGGGCAGTGCAGTGCTGCCTCGGGTGGGTGAGTGGAATGAGTGGCACAGAATATGCTGTTCTACTGAGTCCCTAACTTTCCGAGGGAAATCTTGTTTCCCCTTTGTTGAGATCTGCCCCTGCTCCTATCATGGGGAATTGGTTAGATTGATTCTCACCAGTGAGTCTGTGGAACAGTTTTAGAAGGAATCATGTCTGCTTTGTGATGCTGAATGAGGCAGTGTAAGTGAACACCTCCTTGCAATTGCTGAAAAAGCTGGTTGCTATCTTTGTCCTGTAAGTATACTATGTGTTCACTGTGCATTTAAGCAGTGTTGAAGAGAATAAAGAAAAAGTAGTCAGCACACGGCATCCATGCATGCAGATTGTTGCTTGTATATTTGATATTACTTGTGGAATTAAAAACTTTTTTTTTCTCTTTTAACGGTGCCTGCTCATGCACACACACACACACACACACATATGCGCAGTGACAGAGACAAGCATTTACTGATTTCCATCACTGGTTCACTCCCCAACTGTCAGGGATTGAGCCAGGAGGACTACCCAGCAGCCTGGGATCCCATCCGACGTCTCCCATGTGAGTGGCAGGGACCCAAGTACGTGTGCTCTGTTCCACTGCTGTCCTGGGAACATGAACAGGAAGCTGGATCAGAATTGGAGCAGCTAGGTCTAGCACTGGCACTCATACGGGAGGCTGGCATTGCTGTCAGTGGTTTCATTGCTATACTACAATTAAATGTTGAACTGTCCATTCAGGAATGGGGAACCTTTTTTGCAACCACGGGTCTTTTAGATATTTATATCATCATTGCAGGCTATACAACTTAAAAGTTGGACTGCTATAGATTTATTGAATTCTGAATTCTACCTGCAGTTACCTTGACAGGACCACACCACATGATGTGCCATGTATGGCTCTTGGCCCAGAGGTTCTTCACCTCTACCTGAAAAGCTACCATTTTGTAAATGAATGAGAAATGGATGCTTATTAGTCAGTTCTTTTTTTCTTCTCTTTGGGGAAACTTTTAAAGCTTTGCTAATTTTTATTCACAAGTCAGTTTGATCCATTTTAGCTAATTTGGCACAAAAGTATATATGGTTTAAGTTCTTTCTAATCAGAATGATTAGCTGTTATTTGTCAACTGAATATGTCTTGAACCTAAATAATTTAATTTAATCATATAGAAGGGTTGACTCAAAGGAGCTGTTGGTATGGCACAGAAAAATAAGCTACCATATGCGTTGCGAGTATGCAAGTGGAGTGCCAGATTGAGCTTGGCTGTTCCACCTGCAGTCCAGCATCCTGCTGATTCACCTACGGAAGTGGCAGAAGATGACTCAAATACTCGACCCACTGCTACACTTGTGGCAGAACAGGATGGAGTTTCTGGCTTCCGGCTTCAGCTTTGCCCAGCCTTGGCTACTATGGCCATTTGTTTAGTCAACCAACTGATGAGCAGTCTTGCTCTCTGCCACTCTGACTTTCAAACAAATAAACAAATACATCTTAGGAAAAGAAAGGTTCATTTACTGTATTGGTAATGAAGTCAAAAGCTTAGCTTACTAGTTGACTTTTCCCAAGGTCAGATAATCATTCTTAATAATTTTCGGCAGTATATTTCATTGGAGCGTTATGGAGATGCTCTGGTAACTAGAGAGGTCACATATCACGGAAATCTTTGTGACTGTATTATACGCAGGGAGCTGGATCCAAAGTAGAGCAGCTAGGACGTGAACTGGCACCTATAAGGGACACCAACACTTCAAATGGAGGCTGCAGCACTGGCACCTGTTTGCACCTTTCCATCACTTATTAGAGGGACTTTAATCAAATAAGATGCTCATGCAAAAGTGTGACATTTTACTTTTTATTTCTTAAAGACAGATTTATTTATTTGCATATATATGTACATGTAGTTATGAGGGTGATCATCCTCATTCTGTAACTGAGGTATGCTGACACCAGGTGGCAGTAGATGCTCCAATTGTACCACCTTACAGACATCAGTCCTTGAAAATCCGACATATTTTCCCTGCTAATCTCATGGTGCCCTGATGCCACCACTTGGAAACATGTGCCCCTTACACCATATTGAAAGGCACAGTTCAAGTTGCTATCTCTGGGGTCCCGTCATTCTCTCCCTCTTTGAGATGCATTCATTAGCTCATGGCTTTAGTCTATGTTTCATCCCAGGCCTCTGACAGCACTCTGTAATTGTTCAGTTCTTCTTCTTTAGTTAACACAGATGCTACATGCTACAGGTTCTTGTCTTTCTTCCAGCAAGGGAGATTAAGTTCTGTGGGTTGTCCTTCTGTATCTTACCTGGTACCTCTAAGGAAACAACCACTCTTTTCCAGCTTGCCTCTCAATCACACTCTCTCTGGTCTACCTGAGGTTTACACTACTTGATGCACTCTAGGTCTTTTTCCTCACACTCAGGGAAGGACTTAGAATCAGTGTGGTCACAGCATCATCACTTTAGGGAATTCACTAGTTAGAATGAACAAAGTCTCTGTTCCATCTCTGATGCTCCGAGATTCAAGGGCACTTC